CAAGTAGCCATGGAGAGGATGCAATAATTGAACACCGCAAGAATTTTTCTGGATCCGTCCAGTACGAGCGGCGTTCCGAAGATCTGTCGCACACTGCAACTGCTTTTCCTTTACTCTTGATCCGAAGAAATCGCTGGAAGCTAAGCATGGAGAGATGGTATGGAAATTGATTTATTGATTGATAGATATGTGGGGTTTAACGTACCAAAACCACCATATGATTATGAAGACACCGTAGTGAAGAAGAAGAAGAATAACTTTATTTATGAAGTCCAGCGAAGTTGATTTGGGGCGGGCCTAGGCGTCGGCCACGAGCCCTTGGGCTCGGGCGGCTTCCTCGGCTCGCTGGACGGCCCACAGTTGTTGTTCGAATGAGGAGCTGAGCAGAGCCCCCTCCCAGCGTGTCCTGCGGTCCGAAACTGCCTCTTCGTTGTTTTCATCGTTGCTTTCATCTAAACTCGAGCATTCCCATAGTATATGTGAAAGTGTCGCCCTTTCATCGCAAACCTTGCATTTTTCTGTTAAATACAGATCAGGGTAACAGAGACTAAAGAGAACTGGATTCGGATAAGTATATGTTTGCAGTTGTCGCCACGCAACTGCCTGTTTTTTATTTAACCTGTTGTGTGGCGGAGGGTACTTTCGCCTTTCTAGCTTATAGTGCTGCGTTATTTCGTGGTAACTAGTCATGCGGTCCCCCCACTCCCACTCCCCCCCGCGTGGAACTTCGTCCGAGGCGGCGTCGGCGTTCGCAACGGCTCGGTTCGTGAGTGCTCGAGCCGCCGCGTGCGCCGCCTCGTTGCCGGCCAGCGGGGTTTGTGTGTGTGCGGGGGTCCATATGACGAAAGTGTCATTTTTTTCCCGAATTTTGTCTTCGTTAGTCATTAGGATTCGCAGCGCCTCTCGGGAGACACGACCGTTCGCATAGTTGCGTATCGCTGCTTGCGAGTCACTAATTACTACTTCGGCCTCAGTGGTCGCCACCGCGAGTGCTATGGCCACCTCCTCGGCCGTCTCGGTCAGTGGCGTTTGCACCGTAACGCTCGTCATGCATGTCCCTTTACCGTCGACCACCGCGGCCACGTAACCACACCTTCGCGCGTATCTGGCCGCGTCCACGAATACCGCTTCCTTGCAATTTCCGAATTTTCTCTGCAAGTCCTGCGCTCTCTGGTTTCTTCGGCCGGTGTGATGTTCCGGGTGCATATTTTTGGGCAACGGCGGAATCACTATCTTTTCCCTCACCATCACGGTTATGTCGGCTTTTTCGCCTTGCTGCGTGTGATAGTGGATTCCCAGTTTTTCGAGGATGTACCTGCCCGTTTTAGTCTTAGAAAGTCGTTCATACTGTGCTACGTTGTGCGCTTCTATTAATTCGTCAAGCGTGTTGTGCAAGCCTAGTTCTAATAATTTCACTGTGCTTGTGTTCATGGGTAAGCATAAAGCTTGCTTATACACTTTCCTGATTAAGCAATCTAATTTTATCTTCTCGGCGACGTGCCAATTCAAGTAAGAGGCAACGTACGTGATTCTACTGAGGACAAAGGCTTGCACAAGTCTAATAGTGTTCCCTTCTTTCATACCACTATGTCGGTTCGTAATTCGTTTTAGAAGTCGGATTGTCTGATTTACCGCGTGTTCCAACCTGCGAACAGTTTCGCCATTGTGGCCATTGGCTGCAATATACAAGCCTAACACGCGTATAACGTCTACTTTGGGAATGACGTGGCCTTCCGAGGTCGTTAGCTGTATCGCTTCCTCTGCGTGATTTGCGCTTTGTTCGCTGTATTTGGGCTTTCGACCTCTGCGCGTAGGTCTGTAAACCAGTAGCTCCGATTTCTCAGCCGAGCAGGTGAGGCCCGTGTCCTCTAGGAATCTTTGAACCGTATCGATGGCTCGCTGTAGCGTCTGTTCTATTTGGCCGTCACATCCCCGAGTTACCCACAGAGTAATGTCGTCTGCGTACAGACTGTGGGAGAGCCCGTCAATCTCTTCTAATTTAGCTGGTAACCCTATGAGTGCGAGGTTAAAGAGCAAGGGCGAAATCACCGAACCCTGAGGAGTGCCGGCGCTGCCCATCTCTATCTCTCCTGACTCTAATTCTCCCAATGTGATCCTCGCTGTCCTGTCCGTTAGAAAATCACGGACGTAGTCGTACGTCCTTTTACCGAGTCCTAGTTCTATTATTCGGGTAAGTATAGTCGAGTGCTTGACATTATCAAACGCCTTCTTTAAATCTAGGCCTAAGATTGCTTTGGTAGAAGTGGTCATGCTGTCTATTACCTGGTGCTTGAGTTGTAGCATGGCGTCCTGCGTGGAGAGGCTCTTCCTGAAGCCCAGCATGGTGTGAGGAATCAGATCGTGGTCCTCGAGAAAGTTTGTTAGTCTCGCGAGGACCACGTGCTCCATGACCTTACCAACGCAGGACGTCAGCGATATCGGCCTTAGATTTTCCAGCTGTATGCGCTTTCCTGGTTTGGGTATCATAACGATGCGGGCGGTTTTCCACTGTCGGGGAATACGTCCCTTTTCCCAGCATTCGTTAAGGAAAACCGTGAGGTGCTCTATCGATGTGTCATCTAGATTCCGAAGCGTTTTGTTCGTAACCCCGTCTGGTCCGGGCGATGATTTCGTGTTGAGCCTGTGCAGCACCGCGCGTACTTCAGCAATGCTGAAGGGTCTGTCCAAGCACTCGTTCGCAGTGCCTTTGTATTCAGAGTGGAGCACGGGTCTAGTCGGATTAGTGTATCTCATCCTGAGTTCATGCAAGAGTTCTGCGTGGGTGCCTTTGTAGACGTTGATTATCTTGTTGACATTTTGCCTATATGCTGTTTTAGTCTCCTCTGGATCCAGCAGGATCCAGAGGATCCTCTGGATCAAGCGTAGTGAAGGGCTCCGGAATTTTCGACCTTTAACGTGCACCCATATATAAGCACAGGGGCCTACAGAGTTTTCGCCTCCATCGAAAATGCAGCCGCCGACCACGGCTCCATCCCGGGACCAACCTGCGGGTCAGCAGACGAGTACCTTAGCCACTAGACCACGGTGGCGAGGCCGAGATGGCGAGGGGGGGGGGGAGAGAACGTACGTCATGTTATGTACGCCTCAAGACCTCGAGAATTTTTCTTTAAGACGATAGCCTTTCTTGGAGACCTTCGACGAAAAAATTTTGGTCCGTCTATCTGTCTGTATATTTGTCTGTTTGTCCACTTTTATCAGCACCGAGCATTCGAAACGGCTGACCCCATCCGCAGCGACCACCAATGTTGCTCAAGGTTTAGCGTTCATAATTGTGCCATTGTCAATTAAAAAGCAATTATTTCGCATGTCTGAGGCACCATAACAACACGTATATATTCTGCATGTGCGTCTTTTACTAGAAGAGGCCTACATAAGTATTGTTAAGGACCGTAGGGCTTATCACGCTGCGCCTACCATGCAACGCTTGCACGAAAAGGCGAGTGTTTCCAAAGGTTTGATAAGATGAGACAGTGGTGGCACGTACCCATCGCCTTGCGTTCGACACCTTATCAACTCTGAGACGGGCGCGCACACCCGTCTCAGATTCACACGCTTCGTTTTTTTTAAAGAAAACTGCCAGATTGCGCTTATGTCTCACGTGTGACGTGATTTGATGCGCTCGTTCGCCTCCGCTGCACGCTCGAGGCACTCTAACGCAGCGCATCCAGAATACCATTCACCGATTTTATTGCGCAGAACATCAAATAAATGTTTTGTTCGCTCTCTCCACACGCAAGACTATCGTCTTTCGACGACATTTGCAGATTAACATGTAGATACGGGGCCAATTTGTTTTCTTTTTTTACAAGCGGAGCATGTTATACTAGGGGCTAGTGATGCGCCGTCGTCGTCCGCAGCCTCCCCTCCTCCTCCGCCAGCCATCAGTGCATTCCTTCTTCCTCTCAACACAGCGCGCGCCTTAGTTTTACGTGCACCAGCTGTATGCTAACGCGCGCATGCGCAGGCCGGGGCTGGCGCTCGCTATAAATAAACGAGTGTCGGGGCGCGCCACCCTTCGTCGGTTGGTTTGTGCGGTCACTCCACGTTCGATGTCGCTGGTGAAAATGTATGCCGACGTCGACGGAACCGTGGAAGAATACATGAAACAACGACCACAACGACGAGACTTCGTGATAGTTGGCGACTTCAATGTTGACGTCATCAAGGACGATTGGGTGGTCGACTACATGGAGTCGCGGCACTCGCAGAAACGAGCAACGCACGACGGCAAACATCATCCGACCACAGTTCGCGGGACGTGCATCGACCACGTCTTTGCGAATTTCGACCTTCGACCGCTGCAACCAGACCCACTGACCCTTCACTTTACGGACCATAAAGCCATCTTGCTCAAAATAACCAAAGCGTCTCATCAATAAACATCGTCTTTCGCAGCATACGTGCGTGCGTGTTCACTCGTGTTCACTCATAACACACATGCTTGTCGCAAATGACAAACCACATTTATCGCAGTTCAACATATATGCTCCGCATGCTAACCAGTGTCCCCAATCAGGAAAATCCGGTCATTTTTTTTCTGTGTACGCGAGGTATTCCAGCTCGATCACGCGGACACGCCACGGCCTCCCGAGGCGGTCCCACCAACCGTAAAGCGCGCCTTGCTCAAACCAGCTAATGGCGCGGTACTTAAGCGTGTAAGGCAATGATGTTTTATTAAATAGCACCATTTGTCCAGAGAATAGCAATTTTTGGTCAAATTTAGAATTTATTGTAAATTTTTCGGCTGCGTCTGGCGCTATAATATTTGGCTCGCGTGTTCTCCGGAGCGTCGACTCCAGATCGGCTGCGTGTTCTGACCGTGCTCAAACATGGTTAAGGGCCCCTTTAAGCTCGAAATCACTGCGCACAACAAAAAAGTGCGTCATTATGATGGTTCCTGTTTTATTTAAGAGGCACGAACAGCTACAACGTAAGAAACTTTACGCTTCGCACACGGAAACAACAAGCTCCGCACTTACTTTCCCATTGCAGGAAGGCAGCACCATACCAAGCAGGAAGACACCCAGGAGCGGTCCCGACAGGGCTCCAGACATAGCGAAGGCAGCCTGTAAAAAAAAAAAAATGAGACGAGACACAAGGAATTCGCGGCCGCATCATGGTTAGGATGTTTTATTTATTTATGTCCACTTAAATCTCTGCTTAACAAGTGTAGCTTCCAGCTAGTTGGTACTAGCCGTTTAATCCGATGTCCCAAAAATTTTGCGCAACAAAGAGTTGATGAAGGTCTGTTGCGTGCACCAAAATCGGCGTACGCGTTGTCATACACGCATTTTATACCGCATTGGAAATGCGGTCACCGGAATTGGCTCTCGAACTCTCAGACTCACGCCCCACCACGGTGGTCTAGTGGCTAAGGTACTCGCCTGCTGATGCGCAGGTCGCGGGATCGAATACATGGCTGCGGCGGCTGCATTTCCGAAGGAGGCGGAAATTTCGTAGGCCCATGTTCTCAGATTTGCATGCACGTTAAAGAACCCCAAGTGGTCGAAATTTCCGGAACCCTCCACTAAGACGTCTCTCGTTATTCATAATCATATGGTAGTTTTGGGACGTTGAACACCACGTATCAATCAATCAATCAATCAATCAATCAATCAATCAATAAATCAATCAAATCTTTCAGCGTCATGCACAGCCACTCCGGCAAACTGAACTTAATTGAATTAACTGACGACGAAAGCATGGAAAAACCAGAAATAGTCTTTTAACAAGCTGTGGAAATACAATGCCGTAAAACGGCAGCGCTCCTCCTTTCCTGGTCGTCGACCTTTTGCCGGTCAAGGCATCCCCCACACCAACACCACAAAAGTTTTTTTTTTTCTAAAAATTTACGGCGGGGTTGTTACGCCTCGTTGTTGCCAGTTAGCCTGTACGCGTTACTAATAAGACATCTGTACCTCGACGGACGTCCTATTACTGAAGCTTATAGTGACCAAATCACAACACGCGGAAAAGGAGGAGCGCTATACCATACTGCCTTACCGTATTTGCGTAGCGTATTTTCGCAACATGCTAAAAGACTCTAATACGAATACCGGCCTGGTGTCGACGTTCGCGTAGCCTAAAACGAAAAAAAAAATACTAACACTCGATGCCAAAATTGATTTTCTGGGGTTCAAGCAACTCGAGTCTTGGCGCTGAGCCTTTGGTAGGTCAACAAGAAAGCGTCAGCGAGTCGCCGAAGTACGAATGCAATAGCAGTGCCCACGGTCAGCCAGAGACTGCGAGACGATGGGGGCAGGCGTATGTGCTTGTCCGTAAGTTGAGATGAATGCCCAACCGGTATACCTTTCAAAACAGTTTCAATGTTGTTGTAAATGGCTTCTCTGTTGCCGTTTCCTCGCTTCTAAATCAGCCCTTCAAGGTGGAACAGTGTTACGGTTCTCAGCTACTCACCCGATGTTCACGGGCTCGACCTCAGCAGCATTTGTCACATTTCGTTGGAGGCAAAACTATAGAGGCTCTTGTACAGTGTGACGTCATTGCCCGTTAAATAAAAAAAAAAACATGAGATGGTCGGGATTTTCGGAGCCATCCTCTACGGTGACCATCATCATTGTATCGTGTTTTCGAGGCGTAGCAGCCCAGATAATATTATTAAATCATATGAAATACCAATCACCTACAGCAGTACCACAAGCACACTGGAACATTCTAATCAAACTAGATGTGCGTACACGCCCACGCACTCTCGTCAGTAGGAGCTCTGTATGCATGAGCTGTGTATGCTCCCACAATGGAATCGACACTCCCGTTTACCAAAAGTAGAAAATTCAAGCTTACTTTTCGATGTCTGCTAGCTGGCTGCTCTAAGGTAACATGGTATGTATAAAAACAAGTATGCAGTGTCAAACGCTGGTTTATGTGGTAACTCAAGAGTATTCGGTCAAGTAACATAAGTGCACTCTGTCATGTAACGTAAGTGCATTATATGAAGTAAGCTCTGGAGAAGACAACTTTATTATTAAGTGAGTTTAGTCTAGCAGAACGCCATGGAAAAATACGGTGTGGCGCTATGGAACAGAAATAGTGCTAGAAGGCTAACCTTGAGTATAGAACCAATGCTTCCAGCCAGGAACGCCAGCCCGATTGTGAGGAGCCCGTAAGCAGAAGCTGAAAGAAGAAGAAAACACGGAGAGCACAAAAATTGTGAGCGCCACAGTAGTTGCAGCGCCTTTTGAGGCGCTGTAACTACTGTGGCGCAATAAAACAACCATTCGCAATAAAACAACGCCGAATAAGACAACAGACCAGACAAGGACAAGAACGCGACCAAAAGGCGCCTTTTGTACCGTGTTTTTGTGCTCATCTGGCCTGTTGTCTTTTCCGGCACTGTTTTACTACGAATATGACGTAACTCGCCCAAAAGAACATCGTGAGAAAATGCATATCGTGTATACGCAATTGTGAATTGGCTCGATACCGACTCACTGCCCCACCCACCCCTACCACATATGGTACGGGTGGGAAAACCCGGTGTCAGTGAGTGTACAGAAATTCAGGCTGCACACAAATGCGGCCCTCGACAATGTACCCGCCCGTCGAATGCATGATTGCGTGAACCTATTTCTCAAAAAAAAAGAAAAAGTAACGCTCTCTCAATTGTGCGCCTGTCAACGATCAGCCGTTTCCGATACGGCAGTCTGATGGCCGCGGTAAGCTCCTAAGATAGACCTGTTTCGCTGTTCCTTATGCTTTACACGGCGAGTGTAAATTTAATTTTTTTACGATTGCAAGCTTTCATAATTCGCAATATAAACTAATGTGGTAGCGTAATCATTTAAACTAAAATTCATTCATTCATTCGTTTTTTTTATTATTATTCTCACGGCATATCAGAGGACGAAGAATTCGGGTGGCCTCCGAGTACAGGTACGCCGTACTTACCGACGGCCTTGGTGACGTAGGCCGCTTTCTTCTCACTGGCGTGCCACCACTTCTTTATGAAGTCTTCCCACGTGACCGCCGCCAGCGAATTGAAGCCCGATGATAGCGTACTGAAAGTACACGCGTGCAAGATTCTCAGTAGAGGCGGCGCGAACGCTACGCGGAATACGCTTGTACTATGCAGTGTTAAAAGGTGCTTTATTTATGTCGATCGCTGACAAAGATACGATGTGCGCCCTGTGTTCGTGGAAACAGGAAAGTGGTTGGTTAGATTAGGGCAAGTTTATTATGAGAGCTCGAGCACATAAGATATTGGAACTGCGCCGTGCTACCGACCAGGCTGCAGAAATTAGGTGCCTTTCTCCTCTTCTAACCACTACTACCACCACCACATAAGATATGTTAACTGATACAAAGGTGTGGCCACTCATGCGTGGTTCTGGTGCGGACTTGCGAAGTTGGCTGCTCTGCACAGCAGGTCGGCCAACCAGTGAAACATTTTGCACCGCAAGTTGGGTTCTTTGCAAAGCACGCAAGAAAATTGGCAAAGCATTAAGGAGCATGTCGGCTGCCAAGAAGTTCCACCAGTGGGATATTTGTAGTGGCGTGCGTGTCCTCATTGGCGAAAATCGTCCTGATATGTCAACGTCGCCTTATGGTGTAATCATGATGTTACAGGTCGCCAAAATTTGTGACGCTATCACGGCGTAATTATGACATCACGTGATGACATGACATCAGCACATGACATTGTCGCTTGGTCACAGGCGGGCCGATCCCAGTGTTGTTGCCAAAGTGCAGAAGGCAGGGTTCCCCTTCAGGCGGGAGGGGGGGGGGGGCGACGAGGTTTATGGCAGGGCCACGATCCTTGATGTTAAGTTAACATATGGGTTAGACATTGCGCCCCCTCTCCCTTGAGAGACGGGGGGGGGGGGGGGACAGCCCCTTGCTCCAACCACCCGCATCAACGCAACCAACTGAGAAGAAAAAAGAATACAATGGCTCACGCGTTCCAGCAGCATTTGGCAAATACATTACGGACGGTGTCACCTTTCTTCAGAGGGCTGAAAGAGTACGCGAAAGTAAGAAGCCCACTGAATCTTGAAACTCCCGGCACCGCTTGTTTAGTGTCTTAAAAGATGTAAATCGGCGTTTTAAAAAATTTTATTACGCGATTTCGCAAAAGTCGTGCACGAACAAACCAGCCGGTCATATCCGACACACATCATTTTAAGTGCGAGTGTTTAAACACCAAGATGAGGCGCGCACGGTCCGCGCGTAAGCTCAGTCATGCGGAAATGTATAGACGTGCGCCGCCAGGACTAGGCTAAGCGAGAGGCGGGCGCCCTCCTTCTCCAGTGCGTGTGGTGCCACGTGACCTCCGACTTAGGGTGCAGTGGAGACGGTGCGCACACCAAGTTAGTGTTCACTTACAATGGGAGCTACAGACGCGCAGCTCATTCTCATCGCACTTCAATATTACGCGAGACATCACGGCGACGGCGCGAATTTCAACTATAGTGTGTTCGTATATACGTCATCTCGTTAAGTGCAGGGTAACCATTAATTTTGCAAACTCTACGATACCGAAGGGTCCCGAACGCGCTAACGCTCTGCAAGATCCCCAGATCAGATTCAGGCCATCTGAAACACGAAAAGTGACCTTTCCTTTAAAAAAAAAATCAGTCTTAAGTAATGTCTGTACTTAACATTTCAACCTCCTCTGCTCTTATAGAACAAATACAGAACATATAACTAGTTGCATAGCTGTCTAAACCCTTCAGATGCTCTCTTTATTGGGCCATTAGAGAACACCTGCCAAAAATGCCGGTTCTCGGTAATGCGTGGGAGAATAGGGTGATTGGTTATACCATGAACCGATAATTGAAAGCGCAAGCCATCATTAAAACTTCCCCTTCCACTCATCCCAGGGCTTGAGACCATGCAGTTGGCCCTGTTGTCGACTTACCTCAGCGCTCCGCTGAATACGCAGGCCACGAAGAGGCCAGGAAGGCCAGGCACTACACTCAGCGTCTCCATAACAAAAAACGGGATAAGCTGAAATGAAAACGAAAATGGACGGGAGTGCGCGTTGGGCCATTTTTTATCAGCGAAATTTCAAAAAAAGAAATTCCTACAGCACTCAGCTTTCATTGCAGAAGATGGTGCATTGCATGTTGGCAATAACAGTTAGACATAAAGGACTCGTTAACATGAGCATAATATATTCTAGTATTCTCTTAACTCTTCACATAATATAATATCATCGTAAGTTATGTAGCCCTCTCTGGCCCCGCACGTTTTGTCGGTAGCGCACACCATAAGCGCCGCAACATCCTTCCGCGTTGCCAACGATCAAATACCATGCACGTATGTACCGCACGCACCTGGTCCTGTTTGGATATCTTGCCCGACTTGAGGGGATCACAGTTTGGATAGTTTGCATAGATCACGAGGCCGGCGACGCAACCCAAGCTGATGTTTATCATCACACCCGGAATGTTTACGTACAGCGCTCTGAAACAAAAAGAAAGAAATACAACGGGTCAATTAACTTATACATATACGGCCGCACAGAAATATGCAAGGGAAAGTCGAATGCGAAAACGGTGTGAAAAAAAAGCCATATTTTCACAGCAAAGGCGGAGCAACGAATACGATGGTGAGAATTGTAAAAGTTATGCAGCAGAAGCACGTTAATTCGACACTCATCGATTTGAAAAACCGTATCCTTTGGTTTTGTTCTTTAGTTCCGGGATTGATGGCATTAAACCACCCTCGTTATTTCGGTCATATTTGCCCTCAACAAGGCTAACTCGGACGATCCTCATAGCGCATCGAGCACCACAAACGCGACGCAAAAGTGCAAAAACGGCGCACGCGCACAAAGGAAACGGCCACACACCTAAAGAAAACCGTGCTTGCCCTCCGCATGTAATTTCGTTACGTAATGATGTATCGTATCAGAGCACGTTTCTGATTGAGAAACGCGGTATTGATCTATCTCCGCTTTGTGAATGAATTCGCAAGTGACAAAAGTTACGGCTTTTGCACTGTCTTTATGCGAAATATTAATTAAATTTACGTATTCATGAAAATTAGTGTTCAGAGACGTAATAAACATTTCTTCATTGTTTTCTTGATACTTGCGATAATTCGGCCTTCTGTTAATTCGGACATTTTTTTTACGGCCCCGTGCAATCCCAATGGATCAGAGTAAAGCAAGCATGCAGCTAACTCTTTTGGATTGAATCCGATCTCACGCAAGTCGTCAAAACGCTGGTTTAAGCGAATACGGCCACTCCTGCAGCAGCAAAGCTGTTTTCGTGCTTTCATACATAAAGGCCTGACCACACGTACCCGTCGAGGCGCGTCAGCGCGTGGCTTTCTGAAGCGGCACCACGCCCTCTTCTTGTAGAAAGAGAGGGCGCGTAGCTGCGCAAACTGTGCGCCATCTGGAAAGGACGCGACGCCGCGTCAGAATGCCACGCGCCAACGCGCTGCGACGGGTACGTGTGGTCAGGCCCTTAAGCGTCAACGAAGGACATCCGCCCAATGGCTCGACACAACGACGAAACGCAGACGCTGCGTTATTATATCTTTTCCCGCGCTTTCCCCCCCTTATTCGCCGAATTTATAATAGTTGCTGCAGTGAGCACGACCCACCGCCTTAGGCTGCTCGTTACGTTGAATGCCATGCGATGTTCTCACATGCTCCTCCTAAAATTCCGATCAACTTTCACACAATATCTGCTGCACCAATCGACCCAAGCAACATTACGGTACATGACCAGTCAGATCGACAGAAACAATGCAATTAAATGAGAAAATGCTGAGCTACTGAGTATATAATAGTTAATTACGAAAGAAGAAAAGGCGTGTGTACACTATCATAAAACAAACAAAAAACATCAGCGTTTGTGTCGTACGGTTCTTTTCTCTTGTGACTTTGCCCGGTACGTTTTACATTCACTCACAACGCAACAATACGCAAATTAGCACTACACTCAACCACTGAAAAAAAGTTATCATCGATTGCAAAAGTACTTAAGTACGCTCAAGTTCTGTTCGGCCGGCGTTAAATGGGTTGGTTGCATTGCAAATTGGCCATCAACGTGCTATTATTATGTTACTGATGCAACAATCAGCAATGCCAACGCGCGAGTTCACAAAATAACTGACTTTCTGCGATTACGCACCTAAATTTATAAGTACATGTGGGTTTAGCAGTTCGTCTCCATAAAAGTGTGGCCGCCATGGCTGAGGGGATTTGATTCCACGACCTTTGGGTCAGCAGTTCCAAATTAGTATGGCACACGTCGTCATCTAACATAAGCCAAACTGACGCGCGATTCACGCGCAATTTACGCGTAGCAATAACAGCCCCGCCTATGTACGAGCATGCGGGAAAGCCTGCATCTGTAAACAACATCTAACCACGCGTCGCATGACAGGCCCGCTACGCCTGTGTAAGTACAGTGTCAATTTTTATGAACGGGAACACGGGAGCGCGTGGAATGCGCGCTCCGGCGGCTGCTGGCAGCGCGTTGAAGCGGGAGCGAGAGCAACCGCACTATCTTGTCGCGTCATCTCACGGCGAGCAAAACAACCATTCGTTGCTGATATAGAACGGCAAGCTTGCAACCCTTCCCCCTTCAAGGCGATTACCGGCTCTCACGAAATCAGCTTGAAGGGGAGGGGGTCGTAATCTTGTAGCTGGTTCCAGATCAGCAACGAACGGTTGTTTGGCTCACCGCCAGATGACGCGACCCGATAGTGTGGTAGCTCTCGCTCCCGCTTGAACGCGCTGCCAGCAGCAGCCGTGTTCCTTTTCGTAAATATTGACACTGTACATATAGGGTGCAAGGCAATAAATCACTCGCACTTCGTCCATCACTGACTCTGGTATGTGAACGCGACGAAAAGGAATCCTATGTGCTTGCTATGCCAGCAGCAGAAAGCGTGCACGTTTCGCATTCACCTGCAAGTGTCGTTATAAATCAAAGCGCGGAAGTTCATTAGTTTCCCCTTTTTTTCCCTCGTGAAACACTTGCTTTATGCATGGCGACATGTATGTATAATGGTATACACGCGACACGATGCCACACTGACTTATACAACATAGCATATGGCGAGACCGTATGCGTATGTTTTATATACCCGCAAAAGCACGACGAGGAATGCCCACCCGTTCGCAAAGAGGTGGAATGTTTCCGCAGCCTGAGCGAATTGCACGTGCAAAGCGACGTAAATAGGACGACACGATGAGAGGCGACCGCACTGCTACGACTTTGCAGCTGCAGTCCGCAGCATAATGTCACGTGACAGATCGTTGTGGCGTAGACTCGACAGCGAGCGTATACGCTACGAGCCGCCGTACAAATTTAGTTTTCGCGAACAAGTTCAAAAGTATAATGGCAGCAGATTGCGTCTGCTCTCGCACGAGAAATTCCAGAATGAGTAAACAACTTATAGCTGCAAATCCCGAGACGTATATCTCCGCCAGCTAGCCTAAGGGCATTCAATCGTGGTTTATTTAGACGGAACGAGCAACAAGTGATGCGAGAGGCGAAATGGACAATAAATCCCCAAAATACATCGGGGAGTCCAAATGTAGTAATTAAAAAAAACAAAAGTTGAAGAAAAACCACCTGACCTGCGCGGAACGCGCTACACAATCACAGCAAAAGGTGGAAAAGCGGCTTTACTATAGCTTTTTTTTAACTCTTGGAACAACTATACTACAAGCACACTTGCATGGTACCCACTATTCCATAAATAATCATAATTTTTGTGTAGCGGGAAAGCGTTCACTATGCCAGTATTCCTCATTAAAAAAAAAGCGTGGTACCGGCTACACATTTGTAAGATATTACGTGCACTCTGTTGATATTATGGCTGACGACGATGAAGAATTATGCGAGGCTTTTGTAATGAGTAGCATTCGACGACTACTCGTTACGAAATTCGCTTTGCGTGACATTTGGTAGTTACTTTGCTAAAACGCTTTATAACGCATGTTAACGCGATTCTTTAACCGACATGTAGCCTGCATAGGGTCAGTTTGAAACGGAGTTTCAAGCACCGCCGTATCTCAGTGGTAGAGTACTGGGCTGCCACGCGGAGGGTCCGGGTTCGATTCCCATTCTCTCGTCGGCGTTTTTTATTTAGTTAGTTTTTTTTCTTGTTTCGCGCGATAGTGGTTATACAGACATCGGCGGCGCCAGAATCGGCCCTTGTTGTGATCTCATAACAGCTTTCGCTGCAAAACGAGTTGCAGCGCGGCTGAACGCCGAATTGAAGTGCTTCGCACTACCCGTGCCACGAATACCAGTGAAAGTCTAATACATTACCATATAAAAGTCATCGCAAGGATTTGGTAGTTCAGATTATATTTCCCCAGGATTTCGGCTCAAGTAATGCTGTGCACTCCGGTGCACGCCTGACCGTAGAGCCTAAAAATGGTAACGATCACGTTATCGCCTACAGCACAGGCGTATACGTGAATCTGTTATAACGTCTTGTTAGCTATACTAGGCCTGACGCCAACAGCGCAGTTGCTGTTTATACGGGAGTGCATACAGCTTTGGCCCAAGCCGCTCGAAGAGTCGCCTGATCGCGATGGATTTGAAAATAGGTAAACATTATCTTGTCATCGCCACTCATAGCTCATTTCTCTTCTTACCCGTTCCCGAGTAGGTCAGGGGCATAGCGAAATATTCATTTGCCTCTTCCCCTCGCTAACTGCGCCAATGAAGTAGCTGGCCAAAATAACCTAAAGCTAAGGCCCGCCCATTCGAATTTTCCACAAATAAACCTCGCTATCTCTCTCTTTAAGACTCTCGGCGGCTTTACGGGAGAAATTGAGTACAAGTGACATCGTCGACAGCAACGTAAGCGCGCTTTGTAGCTGAAGCGCGGTTGGCAGCGAAATATAAGCAATCAGGCAAAAAAAAATTGCTGGCCCCTTGTACAAGTCGAAATGGGCAACACGAAAACACGGACGCGAGAAGAACGAGCACACACACACAACAGCGCCACCTCTAGACTGTTGCGAGATGGCGCTGTGTGCTCGCTCTTCCTGTGTCTCCCATGTTTTCGCGCAGCGTGTATATACATAACGAATTGCGGCTTGCCCAAATGTCAATTCTTCTGGCCCCTTGCCCGCTTATTTTTAGCGAGCAACGTTTCGAGTGCGCGCGACACCGTTTTATATCGACACCTCGCTGAAGGGTTGCCCAGCGCCGAGCCCGGAGGCGCCTCCATTAGTAGATAACGGCGCGCGCATGCCACGGACAACCAACTCCGCATTCTGCAATCAATCACACTAATGCTACGTTCGCGTGCTGCGTTCTGATGAACGCTTGGGAAGCGGCGTTTCTTCTCCCACTGCATAACTCTATAGATAGCGCAAGCCCTTCTGAATGATTTGTTTTAAAACACTGGAAGCCGGCGAAAATCAACACTGGCTTATGGAGGACAGGGAATGTCGCTGAATGTGCTCGTCCAAAGCAACT